AAAGTTAGTTTTCCACCGCAATTTTTAATCTGCATGCAAATCGAATGGAGATTCTATTCACGAAGAGATAGCGACTGGGATATTGACAAAATATCCCAACAAGTTTATCTTTGTGCAGTGACATTTAATCTGAGCGTAAATTGAAAAGGATCTGATTAACAATATGCATTCAAAAAACTCGGAGTATTTTTAAGTAGAATAGAAATTATCAATCTAATATATGCTAACAGTTACGTTTCCTCTTCGAAAAAAATTATCGATAGTTTATATTCAGAAATTATCAGAATTCAGATTAAAATGTAAAGTATTTTAAATAAAATCATCTTCACACTTTTGAACTACGAGAGACTATTTAAAGCAAAATTCTATCATCTGCTTTCCGGATATGTTTATCCATTAATTATCGATTAGCCAAGCGCATTTCATAAATCATATTTACGTATAATCAAATGAATGTGTGCATTGGCGTGAAGTTTATGCATCGTTAGATCGGAATTTATCGATTTTGATTGCCGCACAAGCTGAATTCGACACGAGTATTGGTTCTCCATCGATAATCCCGACCTTTAAACATATTTCAGAGCGGACATTATCTTCCGCTGAACGCCAGATTAAATTCAAGCGTTGACGTAATACACGATCGTACTTAATCGCGAGGCAAGCAGCTTTAAAAAATGGTAGTCACGGTCTCGAAACGTCATGTGTTATTTTTTCTCCGCTCGATTGAAATATCGTGTCATGGCGACGACACGTGACACGATACTTGATGGCCGATCACCGCGTTGCGAATAGAAAACTCGATTTGTGTTACCGAAAACCGTATAAAAAGTCTCGTCGATATTTAAAACATAATTACCTTAATTAAAATTCTATCTGCATAAGCCATTACGGCGGATAAAGAGATAAATTGAATAATAAAGACAGGAGGTAATTAGCTAAGTCTTCTTGTTCTATTTAGGTGACATATTTGTTCGATGACAATTTATTCGTGACACATAATTTTTTATTTAATCATTCGTGTTGTTCGAATTATTTCGTTAAATCGAAGCGCGATATTTATCGAGCACAAACGAAAAATGTATAATAATAACTTGCAATTGAATTGGTAGCCGGATAAAACTAGCCGCTTCGCGTTTTGCCGAAACTACTCTTGTGTCTCTCCCGAGACAGTCGAGCTTTACGTTCCGGAACGCGAGCAAATAGCGTCGTTAGAATGTAACGCCGTAAACATCATGTCGGACGAGGATTGCTCGTCGTTTCCATCTGGATCACGTACGTTGATGTTGATGGTATAAGGGTCCCGATGATATGGGAGCCGGCAAAATGAACAGAGAGATTCCCAGCAGCACCCTCGCGACCCTGAGGGGGATCCTGGTGAGCTCATTGTCGAGGGAGAACCTCGGCCCTCACGACCTCCCCCTTCACGAGCACACGAGGCATCGACCGCCCAGAAAGGTTCACTTTCACGAAGGTAAACTGGAAATATAACGATACCCTTTTTTTTTCGATAACGAAGAAATATATTTTTATGAATAAATACGCGTTATATTCTTATATAGGATGATACACAGTGATTTTTACAGATTTATTCGTGTATAATTTTTTTAGATCGAACATGCAATATCATGTATTAATATAAAAATATATATTTTCTCTCGTTTAAGATTCCGAAGCGGCAAATAATTTCTATTCGCAACGGTTTGACTTGCAAGTCAGGACTTGATTGCGCGAGATTATGCATTAAGTTCCCAACAATGCATCCTCAAGTTGCATTCCCCCAATCATGATCGCGCGATAATTTAAATATAAATGGAGGAAGTGGCACGCCCAACGACCGACGACAATGTTGATCGATTACATCGATCCTCATGCAATTTATGTGCACCATAATCGTTTACAGGATGAATATAACGAGCAGATTTAATCATATCCCACGGTATCAATTCGTGCGGATTTAAATAATTATGCCAATCTGGCCTGGCATAAGTCTGCGCAATCTGCGCGCATCGATTTATATCCTGTTAATAAACAATTTCAGTTCGCTTCGAAACGACGAAACTCTTGAATTCTTATCGGATGATTCTCTCTGGAACGAATATAAAATTATCACGACGAGAGGATCCTTGAGGATCGAGCTGAAAACTAATTTCGCTCTTCGCTCGTGGCGTACTTCTCATTCAAATTCACGTGAAAATCTCGACGATTGACTATGCATCGGGCGTTAAGTGGCAGCTCGCCTTCGCCGCACGCTTCAAGGATATTTTCCAGTTTTGCGCGTTTCGTTTTACGAGCGATACTGCGCGCGTAACGTTCTTATTCAGCTACGACAGTCGATAAGACGCGACAACTCGATTTTCTCAGACATAATTGATCCGCCCTAATGAATAGCAACGCTACATAATGAGATCCCGAGACCGTTTCGCGATGCAGATTTCGCTCGATTCACGAGCGAACCTCTTAATTGCACAGAAATATCTATAATTCTCGTGATGGTGAGTCTTCGTTCTCTCGCACAGGAATGCCAGCGAAATGGAGAAGCTCATTACGCCAAATTATCCGAGCTTACAACCGGTATTCTTAATATCCACGTGTAATTAAAAAAATATGTTTCCTTCGGCCATCCGATACCCCGCGATGTAGATATTAATCTAATACTTACTTGAAAACATACATTATCATATGTCAGTCCAGAATAATCTCATCCAAGATTTCGTTAAAAATTTTAACCATCGTGAAAGGACATTGTACAATCAGCAAGTATCATAGCGAATAGTAGTTGCGTACATGAATTTTTTTCATCGACGGGAACGCGCGACTGATGTGCATAAAAATAATGCAACTTCCTTACGAAGGATAAGCAGAAACTCTCGCGCGGTCTACGCCACATACAGGCGGCAATATCACGATAAGAATCTCGCGGCGCTTCTCGTTAAGCGCATTAAATGCGCTGCTTAGGAAGTATACAGGGTATCTTAAAAAGCTCCCACTAAGCAAATAGCGTTATTCCTGATTAAAAACCGAGTCGAAAAATCCTGAACCATTTTTTCCCCCCAAAATTCATTAAATAATTAATCAGATTTAAGTATTAAAAAGATTTCTGAAAAGATGAATTGTTGAAAAATTAACACAAAACAGTTAATTTTTTTGCTCATCCAAATCTTCATATGTTGATAACGAGGAAGTTTGTCTTTTTATTGGCGCGACTTTAATTAATTACTGCTACTCATTAATTACTGCTTTATTAATTATGGAAAAAAATGGTTCAGGACTTTTCGACTTGGTTTTTAATCAGGAATAACGCTATTTGCTTAGCGGAAGCTTTTTAAGATACACCCTGTATAGCATCACTGCTGCACTGCCACTTCATGGCCGTTCTGGGAACGATCATTTCCTCGGCAGATCCCAGACAATTAACCGCGCACGCCTGCTCCGTGACTAATAGAATCCGTTGGTGTCACGCGCTGAAAAGTATGCGTTCTCAAACGGCGGATGTCGCGCAAACGTCACGACGTCTGCGAGTCTTTCGACTCGAGTGATATGCCCGATCGAGAACCGATGCGAATGTAATTGGAGTGTTGTCACGTACTATCGAAACGATTCGCACGTAAAGTGCGCTCGATGAAGGAACGTGAGATGCATCCGCCGAGATGCGTGAAGGCACGCATCGATGAGACAATCGAGCGATTCAGGGGTAAGAAAAGGGCGTTTGGGGTTCCTGAAGCCTCGACTCATCGATTCAGCAAAATTTTCGACTGGCAATTTGCAAGTTTTTACCGCGATTTTCGCGAGCAATAAATGCACTCGTGATCCTCGATTAGGCGAACTCGTGTGAACAGGAAGCGCCACGAGGGTGGAAAAGGGCGTGCGAGTGCGAGGTTCGGAGATTGTTAATTACGGGATAAATCAATCCACGTCCCAATTAATCGGCTTCGTCGGTCGCGTTCACGCAACTCTGCTCTTCATTCGCATCATCTTGCCTAATTTACACGCGATCCACATGCAATGAAAATCCCCCTCGGGGATCCCCTTCCCGAACGATAGGGAGATTCTTCATTTCCGATTTTCATTTCCCAGAAAAAATTCCCTCAGGGACTGATTTCTTCTCGTTTAACGTTGCTCCATGTGAATTAGAATATAGCAATAAAATATTATTAGTAGACATTATTTTTGTAATTGATTATATGAACGAAAAAAATGTTACATTCAATTGCATTGTTTTTTAATAAATTATTTTCAATGCGTCAACGATATGTATATCGTTACATTAAATTTCTTTTTAATACATGTGCTGTTGCATTGATTGCAAGTATTGTTTGTTAATATTGAATGGTCGAATAATGGAGAAATAAGAGGATCCGAAAATATTGACGCGTGAGATTTTGCTTGAATCAATATTTAACGTGTAATAACAAAATTTGATAGATTATACGACGGTGTATACTCTCGGCGTGTCTACGTCGGATCAATATAATTTCCATCACGGATCACTTATTGTCATCTCCCATATGATTCATACGTCATTATATCAATAGCTTGAAATTGAAACAACCAATATCACTCCGTTTCTTGGAGATAAAAACAGATATAATAGTTACAGTATGCTTATTTTGTGTTGGAAAATGCTTTTTATGTTACGTACAAATTATGGAGAAGACGTAAGTCGTATTCAAACTCAGACATCTTAATATCTCTCATAATGTCTGTTGAGAAAATGTCGTAATATTCTCGAGAAACTGACATTACATCGGCAGTAACTGTATTTTAGGAAAGAATTATTACTTTGGCGGCATATGTTTTTTTTTCTCATGCTTCGTTTTATGACAAGCGTTTCACACTCTACTGAAAATGTCATTCGAAGACTACTGTAGCGCTTCGAGAATATCTTTATCCGCATTGCGCCAAAACTTGGGATGTTTGCTATCGCGCGACATCGCATAAAGTCTTGTTGTTCGATAATTATATAACAGACTTCTCATATTCTCTCTCCTCTTCTGTTTCAGGTGAGTACCCCGTCATAAAGAGCCGCTATATGCATCATCCGGATAATCGCGGTATGTAAACTCGTTGTGCGGAGAACAAATGAAACCCTCACACATTGTGCTCGGTCTCTCTTGAGCTCGTTTCATTTTATGCAATGCTTCGACAACGGTAATCCACACAAATGCAAATCTATACATTGGCGATCGACACCGATGGAATTTCTATGAGTTTAGTAATTTACAATAATAGGAAACATATTTTTTGAACATCTTTTTATTTTTATCGCATGAGATAAATAGAGATATTTATAATTTCCGTGCGTTGTAAATTATATTATTTTTAATAAGTTTTCATTCCTCTCTCTCTCTTTGTAGGCGTATGTGTGCGTGCGTGTGTACGTGCATGATGATTAAAGTAAATTCACGTTGTCCGCTGACTGGCCAACGCAGAAATGGCTGAGCAGCCTTTTAAAGATGAAATAAATTACGGTCGTAAATTAATACCCGAGATTAGAAGGGAATTTACATATCGAGACCCTCTGTGGGAAACCCGCGACGGTCACGCGATATTGCACTTCAACGCGCCTGCATTCTGCCTGTATTCCAACGTTCGCGGGGTATAAAGCGAGAATGATTGGTGTGCCATATTTCAGAGTCGCTTTATCGGCAAAGTCACCTTTTACGACGTCGTTATCATTGCAAGCTACAAAGAGAGAGAAAAAGAGAGTCTCTTTGAGACGCTTCTCGAGGATACACACATGTTCGAAAGAGCTTAATTCGCGTTCAAAGCCGCAAATTGCCTGAACGAAACTTCGGCGCGTCTTATGCATTCGTTGTTATTTTTCTTTCCTTCTGCGACGTGCCGAACAGTGTTAAAGTAGTGCGAGGATGCCATTAAGAAGGTCCTTTCCCAGACACTTTTAGCCGAAGCTACCTTGCTTCGAAAGGATGGCGTACGTGACGAGCAATTAATTCCGAACCCTTCGAATCTTCAGTCGAGAGAGTTTGCGAGAAAGTTCGTCGTGTGTGTTGAGTGCCGATAGTTTCAGATCTTTCTTAATGAGGTCTTGAATGCCAAAGAGAGCCAGAGAGAGGTTGTATGACTCCTTGTTGATGCTTAACATCCTGTCGATTTTTTGCGAAAATCAAAAAGATAGGAACACTATAAGAACCGTAAATTTGGGACGAGATAAATGGGAAAAGGATAAATTTTTTTTAAAAAATGAAACCTGTTACAGACACAAATCAATAAACCGAGGCATGAAATGGTGTCATTGACAAATGTGTCGATAAATATTGATTTTAAATCAGGAGTATCGTTAACGATTGTCAAGTGCACTAGTGGATAAATATAAATACGAATGATGTCAACGTGTTTTAATTTAATCGATTACATGTAGTTTATTTTCGCGCTTGAGACGCAATCAAAGAAGATTAATTATTTACATATACCAGTTTTTTACTATCACAGAATATCAAAGCTGTCTACTCACTTTAAGCTTTTTTTTATGAGTTTTACATTTTATTAAATAAATGTAGTTTATTCATCGATAAGGCTCATTAATCAAGTATACGTGTTTTCTTGCGGTATTCTAAATTTCAGTGAATTCCTTGATAATATGCGTAGAATTATCGTTTTCCAAGTAAGCCAACTCATGTTTTACACGGTAAAATTTATGACGCTTGCGACAGAAAATAGTGAGATTTAGATACTCTTATCGCGCTGTCACAAATCCCGACATTCCATACATATGAGAGATACGTTGGAACAAATATAATTTTTTTCGACTTCAGAATATGGTTGGTCGTCAAATAATTTTCATCATCATAATGTACGTCGCAGAAATATTTTAATCATTAAAAGACATTAAAAGACTGATTTAATTTTAAATATTCTATAATAATTTAAATTATAATTTTAAGTATTCTATAATAATTTTGTTATATTTTTGACACTTATCTCAATTCTTTCCACTCTATCAAGTTATAAATACTCGTAAAATAATCGTAATGTTTGAAGATTGTAATTTCCGTTCTTAATCGATTTTCGATGTTTCATTCGTACGTCTATTTGATCGATTCGGTCGATCGTTCAACGTAACGATTGACATGCTGATTGGCATTTATGTATAAGAGAACCATCTCAAACTAGCTTCAGGTATAAACGTTATCGACATTCGGGTAAAGTAGACTGTGGTATCCCATCTGTTTCCGCTGTGAATCTCTTCTCTCGACTCCGTCGAGAAGATCTGAGTAAAACAATACGAGGATTCAACTGGCTGGCTTTACAAAATAATACCATGCGCCGTAAATCGTGCTACAAAAATATTCCATTTCATTAAATCAATGTATTATTTGGGCGAGGATATAGTTGATTCAGCGCTTTTCGAGAAATGCAATAAAATTTTTGCAAATAGATTCACGACGCTATTCTTAGCAGAACACTTTTGTTCTCACGCGATTCGTGCATGAGCGGCGAAGTGCAGTTTTTTAATGCAGAGGTATTAACTATAGCTAACACATAGAAGCTTCTGTTCGCGAATAAAAAAACGTTTAATCCTTCTTTAACATAGATTACAGAGAAATATATTTTTCAAGAGCTTTTTCTAAAATAGACGAACACGACAGCTAAAAGTTCCTGATTAAATGCATTGTATTATGAATAAAATGCATTATGATTTTCCCATTCATTATGTATATTTTTATTAGTTTTCAGCTTATTCCTGTCTTATTTTCTTCAGGATGCGCGTTAGTTGTTTTATAATTTTAATTCAATAATCTAAAAATTTATTTATTCAAAATTAAATAGTTGAGATTAAAGTACAATTTAATTTGCAAGAAATTCTTTGTGGAATTAACGTAACGAATATGTGAATCACAATTGATATTCGTATTCGGCCCAGCGTTAACGATGTCAAGACTCGGACCAGATAAATGCGTTCAAATAAAGGGATACGGAAACAGTAGTCCAGGACAATCCGCTCGATCCGTTTGTGCTGCTCGTTTGTATTGCAGCTTGCGATTCAATAGTGACAGGTCGAAACGATACCGTGCCCTCATTTATGATTCGCGAATTCTACGGATGGACTGAATAACAAGATTAAGATGCACAAACGCGCGAAAACCGCTTCCATTCAGAGCGCATTTACTCCTTTTTGCCCTCTGCGATTATAAGAGACGACAGGAATACCGATTGGAATAGCATATTCAAAATAACGCGAGAGATACCAATGCGATTGTAGTTATATCAATTAGAAATTACTTGCCAAAACAGTTAGATCTCAAGTCGATAAATTTAACATGTCAGGTGATTCAGAACTGGCTTAAGTTTGTAATATAATTTGGCTGTCAAAGTTGTTTAAATTCTAGTTATATTCCTAGTACAATATTGGCATGCATTTGTGTCGTAACGTTATTCTAAACTGGATTACATGTTTACAATGGGCAATTAACTCTGAACAGAATGAGAATGCATTTTGCAATAAATTTTTAACGTTTTTTATTCGAGATCTTGATTTATCGCGACGAAAAAAATATAAATGTATTCAATTCTATATTCAATTTATTTATTATTCAATAATTTGTTACCTATAAATATTATTTTGCGACGTATATGTTTTTTTTTAATTATTCAACGGAAAAAACGAAAAAAATTTCAATTTTTGTGGAAGACAAATCTGAATAAACGAAAATATTCTTTCGTATTTTATTTCTGGGAATCGATGCGTAGCGAGAACAATTCTTTACCAAGAACAAAAAGGGCTGCCCCAGATGTAAGAATTGTAATCACGAGCGTGTCGAAAAAACATCTCGGCCCATGAAAATCCATACGAGATCCCTATTGTCTCTCTGATTATTTTCCTATGATTGAAGACTAAAAATGCATGTATGTTTATAATGAACTCGTATTTCTATAAACAGGAAAGAATACCATAATTAATAGCGGAAATTAATTTTCATATAAATAGCAACGTAAATGTTTTCTCGCTTTCGCAATAGCCTACAGCTATTATAATTGAATTCTCGTTCTATTTTCTGCTAAATTTACACTGTCTGTTACACTTGTCGATGCTGTCAGCAGTGAGTCACCATTGCACAATTCCGTTCATTGTAAAAACAGGGCAAAAATTCAATTGAAAGTTACGTGTATTATCCAAGTAGAAAAAGAAAGAAAGAGAAAAATCTGTGATAATTATATGAACGCCGCAACGTAGTATTTTAACAAATTTCGTGTTGCTTTTAATGCTTTTTAGTAACATAATATTAAAATTAAAATTATTAATATTTTATTATAATAAAAAAAGACATTTAATATTGTACAGTTTCTAAAATTACATGAATATTTCGGACGATGACACTACTTGTTCTTTGGCATCGAAAGACATGCCGTACACCTTTGTGGTTCGAAAACACTCGATAATTCCGTCGAGGTGGTCCACCGAAACCAACCACAATGGTGTGGAACAAAGGAAGTTGTGGCATCGACAATATCTCGGTCGAATGAAAATGCTCGAATAAAAATGTCTCGATACACTTGACATAAATCTCAAACGCGATAAAAAGGTCACAGTAACGAGCGATATCGAGCCGATCGTTAATACTGTACACGAAACATGCCATCGAGTTCACGAAGAAGTATTTCGATGGAATTTTCATCCCACTTCCGGCGATTGAAATCTTGGAGGTGAAATCCTGAAAATTCGATTGAAAACGAGGGCGTATTATTATCCTTCCTTTAGAGAATTTATCACGATATGTGCTAACAATTCTACTATTTTGTATTTTTACGTTAAATTAAAAATTTTATTAAATTACTGGACATTTTTTTGTAATATTATCTCAAAAGAATTTTCGACGTTCTCTATTATGTTAAAATACGTTGAGCAATATAATGAAATCTGTGTATATTTAAATTTCAATATCGTGTTAGATAAATATAAATTTTACGGACATTTTATGAAAAATTCCCAAACACGATATCACAAGTTGTTGGCAAGAATATATTACTGATATCGCAGTTATCCGGTCCAAGTTTTTGAATAATTTCTTGTTTGTGCAATAAGTATATGTGT